GATAACACCAAAGTTAGGAGAGGTGGAAATTTGGGGTGAATGAACAAGGTTATAACCTCCACAGCAGCACAAAGGAAAATGTTTGTTAGCGCTGGTGGCACAATAGTACAAAAGAATTTAAGAAGTACCATGCTGGGGTGGCTGGATGGCTCAGTGGGTTAAAGCCTCTGCTTTGGGCTCAGGTCATGATCCCAGGGTCTTGGGATCGAGCCCCGCATTGGGCTCTCTGCTTAGCAGGGAGCCTACTTCCCCCTCTTTTTCTTCCAGGCATTTTGCCTACTTGTGATCTCTGTCTGTCAAATAAATAAATAAAATCTTAAAAAAAAAAAAAAAGAAGTGCCATGCTGATAATTCATGGTTCACTAGGTCAGTGTTCTAGTGACAAAGTGAACCTAGAAAAAAGATAATAATAACCTCTATAATATGGTAGGTGTTTAAGTAATTATCTCATGTAATCCTCATATAATCCTATGCAATAGCTAATAGTGTTATGATTTCTGGTCTATAGATGAGGAATCGAAACTTTGAGAGGTAAGACTTGTCTATCTCACATCTTGTAAGTGTCATAGCAGGGATTCTAAACAAGATAGAATATAATAGTGCTTGCTGATGTCAGCACTGAAAACTAGGTACATAATAGCTCCTTTTAAGTAATAGTGATCGTTGATACATTTGCCCAAATCTCTTTCAAGTTAATAAATATTATCTTTGGGATTAGTGAGTTTGTTAAGACTGGCTAAAGCAGTGCAAAGGGTTTATCTGCATGGGTAGAAACAAAGACAGACAGGCAAAGGAGGATCAGGGATGTTGTAAATAGTGTGCTATAAATTATGTTAAAATAAGTTAATCTATAGTCCTCTGAAGGTCCCATACCAGAACAGGGATTTGGGAAGGGACCGAAGATCAAGTTACTAGAGGAGGGCCAAGTGAGTTTCCCCGTTCCCCATTTCTCTAATCATTTTAGGTGTACTTCTCAGGGCTTTCTCTAATTCAGGAGTTGTACTGAGATTGGAGTGAGCAGAACTGCGTATCTCATTCTAGCTGCAGCTGTGAAATAGTTCAGCATGGGGTATATTAATAGCTTTTGCAGGGACTCCTGGCTGGCTTAGTCAGTAAAACACATGACTCTTCATCCTGGGGCTATAAGTTCAAGCCTCATCTTGGGTGTAGAGATTACTTAAAATCTTAAAAAATATATATATATATCCTTGTTGATTTAAAAAAAATAGTTTTTTGGGGCATCTGGGTGGCTCACTGGGTTAAGCCTCTGCCTTCAGATCAGGTCATGTTCTCAGGGTCCTGGGATCAAGCCCCACGTGGGCTTTCTGCTCAGTGGGGAGCCTGCTTCCTCCCACACTCTGCCTGCCTCTCTGCCTACTTGTGATCTCTGTCTGTCAAATAAATAAATACAATCTTTAAAAAATATTTTTTTTAGGGTTTCTGATATATATCTTGATGATACTCACCATTTCTTATTTTTCCCCCTGAATTTAAAAAAAAAAAAAGATTTTATTTATCCATTTGAGTGAGAGAGAGCACAAGCCAGGGGGAGATGCAGAGGGAGAAGCAGACTCTCCACTGAGCAGGAAGCCTGATGCGGGGCTCGATCCCAGGACCCTGGGATCATGATCTGAGCTGAAACAGACACCCAACAGACTGAGCTATCTAGGCACTCCCTGCCCCCACCTGAATTTATTTATTTATTTTAAGTAAGCTCTATGTCCAACATGGCCTTGAACTCATGACCCTGAGATCAAGAGTATCATGCTCTACCGACTAAACCAGCCAGGCATCCACCCCCCTCTCTGGATTTAGTATTTAATTGAGCTGATACTTTCAGGGAAAAAACTGCAGAGACTCCCATGGCTCTCTCCTGGATCCTAACCAGGATGGAAAACAAAAATTCATACTATAGTTTGATCTATTTAATCCTAGGATCATTAACTTGCTCTAGAGCCTGAGGTGAAACATATCTCACTTTTGATTTACAGACTGGTAAGAACATTCTACAGTCTATCCCAATAATCTTGCTCTCTAACAGAAGAATTTGGAAATTTGGACTGTGCTTTTCCTCCTCTATATTATTTAGAGATGTTGGGTACCTAACCGTTTGCTTGGAATAGCAGTGACTATAAACTGGCCTGGAATTTCAGAAGTCCCCTTTAGAGTTCTTTTGAGTAAAAGTCACCTGTGTCATTTGCCAGCACTTTATTTAATAGAGGCTGCATGTTTTGTTCAAAACCCCTTGTTTTCCTTCTGTAATCTTTGATATATATCATCTAGTCCTGTTGATTTATCAACATTTGTTTTCTAAGTTTGGCTTGGATAATGCTGAGTATTGACTGTAATTTAACCAATTACCAACATCCAGATCAAAAATAACATTGAAGTGGTAACCACTGTAAAATATTCTGCGCTATAGACTTGAAGCAAAAAAATTTATGCAATATGTCAAATATCTTTTTGTGCACAATTATCAAGAAATTAACTGATTTTCTTCTTGACTTCTTCTATTTGTATGTTTCTTATTATTTAGTTTTCTTTTAAGAAAGCATCAAGGGTATAATAAAGAGATTAATATTTATTGAGTACCTAATGCTATACTATTCCTTGCAGAGAATAGTTTCTTGGCATAGAGTAGTAACTCATAGGTGATCTTATTTATTCTTAGAACAGTCTTATGTGAACTATATACTATTTTCCTCATCTGTAAAATGGAAGAATAATAGTACTTATTTTACAGGGTTGTTATGAAGATTGAATGACAGTATATGCAAAGCAATTTTGGCAAACAGTAAGCACTATTTTTATTTTTTATTAAGTACTATTTTAAATGTTCTTCATGTTATTTTCTAATGTTACTTACAAGGAAACTGACATATAGAGATTTTTAAGATACTTTTCTGAGTATTACACGGTCAGTTAGGTGGTTGGAACAAATTTCCAAATTTCATACTCTTCTAAACCTGTTAACAAAACAAGGGGGACATTAGACTGAGGTGGTTCTATTGCTAAGGTGACTTACTTAAGCATACCAAAATCTAAACCTATAAATGCCTCAAGGTTATGAAATCAAAATGCGAAGGACAACCAATCACAAACACCCAACTAGCTTTAAGTTATAGCCAATCAGACAATTTCCTTTCTTCGCTTTCCCATTTTTGTACATGTTTTTCCCTTGGTTCCTGTTGGCAGAGTACTCCTAGCCACTTCCGGTTTGGCATTGTCTAAACTTAAATTGATAAATGCTCAAACCAACTTTTAAATTTTTAAAATATGTCTCAGTTTATATTTTAATACTCCTTATGGCCTTGGTGTTCTTGTGAAAGAGCTCTAGAATGTGTTATTTTGTATGATTTTCATGTACACCTAACCTACTTTGCAGGCTTCCTGCTTTTTACTTAGACTCTCTTTTAATTTTATGAAAGATTACTTTACTTCTTAAATTTGTTTTTTACACTGGTTTTACACCTTTTACACTTGACAGGTATGAGGGGATATTTTTCCTGGAGTCCAATACATCCTTTTAAATAATGTCAAAATTCTAATTGGCTAATTATTATTAAAATCATTCCTTTTCTAGTCTTTTCTCTAAGTAATAAATTTAGTTTCTCCCCTCCGCTTCTTGATTCTGGAAGTTCTCAATCAATACTTGATTTGATTTGTGATATAAAGATGAGATATAAGGTACAACATTTCTTTCTGACGCCAGTGGGTTTAAATAGCTAGCTAATTCATTGTAGAGTCTGATTCTCAGTTCTGTTCCTTCTGTGGGTCATGCATATGGTAAATGTAATTTCTTGCAACATACTCATTTTAAGTAACCTGTATGGATGGCCACAAATTTTTTTCTTGCATTTCTCCCCAAAGTAGAGCCAATGGCAGATAAACTTTTGTGATTTCTAAGAAAAGAAGATTGTTGGCAGATTGCTCAAATTGAAATGGATGTAAGAGATGCATTGGATATTCAAATTGATGATGATTGAATATGCCCAAATATTCGGATAGTTTTCTTGCGGGGAGGGGTCTCTTTACAATCATTGAAAAAGTTTTGAGTATTCTGAGTGGGTAGAGAAGGGTTAACAGTGGCCTGAATTGTTGGGTTCAGGTTCTAAAAATGACCTCCTAAAATCGAAGATTGATTAGCTTATTATTCCCAGTGTTAAACCTACAGAATTCCATTTAAAACCAAAACTTTAATTTCGAAAGTAAACTTTAAGGTTGCTTAATGATCGAAGAGTTTTCCATGAGCCATACTGACATGATGAGAAGAAACCTGAGATATTTTGGAGATCTTGGCACAACTTCAAAGAGTGATAGAACAGAATGCAGAGAACTTTTCCAAGTTTTGGAAGGCAGCACTTTGGCTGAGACCCACATATACTGAAACGAGAGGCTTCCTTGAAAACATTTAAAAAGTCTTTTCCTATTTTGGAATTCTAAATTATGGCAAAATTCGTATATGCTTAAAACTCGGTTCTCCACCGGTTTCCCTCCCCAAATGACCCTCCACCGTTTCTCTCCCTGTCAACACTCGTAAACAATTCCTGAGGCATTTGCAATAAGCGTTTCAATAAGATGGCTTATAGTCCTTCTAAATGGCGTTTCAATATATTCTGAAACGGATCCCTTTCACCCCTATTTGCCTTTGTTTTGCAGAGCGAGAAAGGTGAAGCAATTTAGAGATCTGGGGACAGACCGCTAAATGACCTGTGGTTAAGCTGGTGTCGCTTCGCAAGATCTTGGTACCCAAAGCAGCGGAACCGAGATTTAGCATCCTTCCTCTGATCACACATTTCTTAAAGCGAGCGTTCTGCACGTTGGAACACCGTCTCTTCTCTAGCCAACACCTCCTCCCAGTCCGCCCCCTGGTTCCTTCCCACCCTCTACCTCTCTCTCCGTCTGCACCCCCCCCCAGTCTGCGCATGCGTCCTAAGAAGCCCCTACACTCGCGGCACAAGCTGAGAGTATTGTCGGGGGCTATTCTCTCTCCCAGGAACATGGCGGCGAGTCAGGGAGGTGGTGTTAACAGTGGGGGCGGCGGTTGTGGTGGAGGTGGAAGTAGCGGTGGCGGTAGCGCAGCCGGAGGGGGAGGTGGCGGAGTCGGAGGGGGAGGCGGCGGCGGCGGCGGGACCCTGGTGGTGCCCATCCCGGTACCGACTCTTTTCGGTCAGCCGTTCCCCAACGGGCCGCAGTGGAACCCGGGGAGCCTGCAGCCTCAACACACCGTGAGGAGCCTGGACCGGGCCCTGGAGGAGGCGGGCAACTCCGGCATCCTGAGCCTCAGTGGTAGGAAACTCCGAGACTTCCCGGGCAGCGGCTACGACCTGACGGACACCACCCAAGCAGGTGACAGGACGGGGTGCGGGGGAGGGGAAGCTGGGCTCCGAAGGAGGAGGTGGGGGGTGTGGGTGGCTGCGTGGCTGCGTTGTTGGACTCTGCTGGTCTGGGCGGGTTCGCGGGGGCGGCGAGACTGACAAAGTCGGAGCAGCCTGTTCTCGTGAATGTGAGGGAGAGAGAAGGGAATGGTGGTGGTCGTGGAGGGGGAGGGGGTTGGTGACTGAAGGATGTATGGAAATCCGGCGCGTTGTGAGAGGTGAAAGAGCATTATTGTTAAAGCGAGTTTCCCCAGTAAGGAGTAGGGAGGGAGGTATTGACACCTTCCTTAATGCACTTCTTTCAACTCTCTCGGATGTTCTTTCTCATCTTTCTCGGGGGGGGGGGGGGGGAGACAATACATAAAATCACAAGCTACACATATTCTTTAAAGGCATATGTGTCTGGAAGAATGGCATATTCCTTTTCTTCGTACAGCAGAAGCATTGCCACGGGTTTTACGTGATATTTTGTGTGTGTATTTTAATCATTTTAGTATATTCTTGCCTTCTGGTCACGTATGCCTTTCATTTTCCTGGTGTTGAGAAGGTAGTGGTGGTTAAATTAGTATTTGTTGCAATGGCAAATGAAATCATCAATCACTAACATGTCTGGTTACTAGGGGAAAGGATCCTTGTTTTGAGTTATGTTAGAGTCTTAATTTTTATAGCAGAAATAGCCAAAAAATTTGAGGGCATTTCTGAGAAACAAAATTAACTCTATTCTTTAGGGAGTTGTGGGCTAATGGCCTATCGTTTTGGTTGAGAAATTGGCTATTGTAGCGTTCTTCATATACTCTCTGGTACTCTTTGTTGTGGATGGCAATTTTTGTTATGAACATACTCTTTCCTCTCTGCCTTATAAACCAATGCTGATTATTTTAAATACGTTTTGGTTTGATGAAAGGGTTTCTTGCTTTTTATAATCTTTGCATTTGTTATCTTTTATATTTGCTTTGCTCAAAGAAATCATGGACAAAATTATTTTGATAGGTGTAGTAATTTTGAAACAGTACAGTAAGTAAATTCACCTATAATGATTAGTAATAAAAGGCCTCTTATTTTCAGAATAACACTATTTCAGTGTATTCAGTTTCTGAATATGAAATTTAGGTATGTGTTTGGAGGAGGTTGGGGAGAGGAGCAAAGCCTAAAATGAAGCTTTCTACCCAGTTACTCTTTTAGGAATTACTAAGAACTATGAATGCGTAATCGATCACTGATTTTGTATTTTGGAAAGCATGTTTGAGTATTTACTCCTTCACTCTGAACAGATTTCCTAAACAATATGTTCACATATTTATGAATATATTGGCAAAATATTATATGACTTGGTATGTTCTTAAAAGGCTTCAGGAAAAATGGTTTCAGACTGCATCATTAAGGAGATATATTGTTTTGCTTATCATGCTTTATAACCTGTAAAGGATGTGTCTGTAGGACTAAGTTTGAGTGTCCTGGCTTGGCATTCAGGGCTTTCACTGTCCAGCTCCAATTTATTATTGCAACCTTGTTGCCCCAAACACTCCTACACAGAACCCTCTGTTCCAACGAGGTCAACTCCCTGTCCCTCAAATATATTTAATGAATTTCTGTCTCATCTTTGTAGAAGGTCACCCACAGGCTTGGGATTTTTGTCTTTACTCCATCTATTTAATTTTGTTCAAGCCCCCAGCTTTTCCAGGAAGCTGACTCTAACTGCCTTAGTCCACAGCAGTCTCCTGTTTTTGAGTTCTTACGGTACTTACCATCTTTGCCACTTACTTGCTAGGGCTGGCTTTATTTTCTTTTTTATGTTTGTGTCATGCTGTCCCTGAGAAGCTGGAGAGTAAGTCATATACTTGTTCAGGGAGTAAGTCATATACTTGTTCAGTCTTCTCGTTATTTATTGCTTAGATTGTACTTGAAAATATTTTTCATAAACTTGAATATCATCTTCTGTGGTTATAACCTTTGGCTTTTAAGCCTTCAGTTGGTTTTCTGAGGCAAGCTTTAACACAAAGCAGAGCCATATTTGTTCTTGGTAAGGATTCATTCGTCATAAACTTTATCGGTGTCTACGGTAACATTGGATTTTTGAGACGATTCCACCTCATTTTATTTATTTTTTTCAGTTGAATGTGTGTTCCTTGTGGGAACACTTCAAAATTTAAATGAGAAATTTGTGAGTGATTCATTTGCCATTCATTTTTGACAAAATTCAGTCATGAACTATTTAGGGGCAATATTTTTGTATGTGAAGAGACTAGTAGTATTCATTATGTATAAATGAAGGTGGGTACACTGGAACTGAAGAAAAATAGAGCATGTTTGAGATCATATATACATGTACACACGCATACATACACATCTGTATACATACAGTATCCTCTGATGAAAACAGTTTTCTTTGTTGGTATTGTTATACTTAAAAATGACTCTCAGTGGGATAATGTTTCAGAACCAAACTGATTAGTTAGGCAAGCATATAATGGTTTATTGGGTTGGGAGGAGACTTGTGGAAGGGAAAATAGGAAGGTATTCTGTTAATCTAGGTGTGAGGTGGTAAGAATCTGGGGTAAAACTAAATTGGATAAGAAGGGAAAATTGATAAATTTGAAAGGAAGCAGGAGGGTTTTTTGCATTATTTTGCTGTTCCTCACATATACATAAGACAAAATAGACCTGTGGTGCTTCACCTGGGCTGCAGGTTAAAATCCAAAGGGAGTGTTTTTTAAAGACCTATGCCTGGGCCCTACCTCAGACCAATTAAATCACAATCTCAGGGGCCAAGAGAATCTTTTTTTAAAAAAAGTCTTCCCAGGTGATTCTAGTGTGCAGGCAGTGCTGAGAAACTCTAAAATAACTCATTTTTTAGGTACTCAAGTAGTACTGTTTAGGTGAATGCAAATATTGATAAACATTTAGTGACTAAAGTCACGTGTCAAGAGGGTCAAAGCCAAAACTAGGAAGTATGTATTCAGGATCTAATTCAGTATTCTTTTTAATAGGCTAGATGAAGCAGAGACTCTTTTTTTTTTTTTTTTTCATTATATCATGTCTATAGTGAACAGAAAATTGCCAGGAAGCTATAGTTTCTTCAGTTACCATTCATAACCCTGGTTTACGTTGAATACTCTTGGATAACTTGGCATTAAGAAAATAGTGCCTCCAAAACATGTAGCAGCAAAATCTTGTTTATTAATAGGCTTGCCCTGAGGGAAGATGGATAATTGGTAGCTGTTGGTGAAGTTTAGTTTGTCTTTGGTGTCTTTTTACCTTTTTTTGCATTTCTGGTGTGTGATCTTCACCTCCCTGTGCCCTCCTGCTCTCCTCGTTTCTTTGCCCCTCTTCGGCTCACTCCCCTTCTCTTGCTGGGATGTAGCTTGAAGTTTATTATGGCAGCCTTTTAAGGAATTAATATTTAAAAGGGAGAGTTTGCTAATTTATTTGAATCTTCAGTTGGTGGTTTGTGCTCATGACCTTTTTGGATCTGTCTTCTAGGTCCTTGATTAAAGTCCTCGTCTGTATTAAGACATAAGAACAGATGAGAAAGTTTGTAATCCATTTCAGGAAAGTAACTGACTCTTGTAATGTCTTGTCTTAGATGGTCTATAGGTAAACTTGGCAGGGCAAAGGGAAATTGCCTAGAACATTTTAATCTGTCTGGATACCGTGATAATTTGTTGACCTTAAGAAGAGAGCTTGAAAATGATTCTGATAGCTACTCAAACAAATCCTGAAACTTTCATATTTGACTTTGTCACCAATGCTACAAGTAAGTCTCAGCCTACTTGCAGCTTCTCCTTCTGCTTCTTCATACCTCTTTATAAACAATAGGTCTGCGAAACAGATTTAGGAATTCTTACATGCATCAGATGGTGCTGTGTCCTGGGTTAATCACATGTTTTCCTGTAAACCTGGAGTCAACTCTAGTATTTCCTACATGTGCTGGTTCACCCCTTCAACTGTGGGGCATGGTGCATTGTATCAGGTTGTAAAATGGAGCCAGATAAACTTAGCAGCATCTGATTATGTCGTGAGGTGAAGGCCCTCTTAGAGCATTCAGTGAAATGAACTTGTGATTTTGTGGACTGATTCAATATCTACTTTGCTTTGTGTAATAAATGTCTCCCTAAAAAATTGAATGTGAAGCACATTTTTGACAGTTGACTCATATTTTAATTGCTCTAGATTGAATTTGAGTTGCTGGCCCTTGCAGTGATTTATTTTATTTAGTGATGAATTCTTCTACAGCATAAATAGTTTTCCCTTAATTTCTTTCTTTTATAAGTTCATATTTTAAAATAAAATGTTATCTTAAATTGGAGGGTATGTTCATCATTAAAAGATTACCATTTATATAGCTCCTTATAAATTTCTAAGCACTTTCATGTATATTATGCTACTGTATCCTAATAAAACCCTGTGAGTTTGGCACAGTACATAGTAATTACTCATTGTTGTGAGAGGTTAAATGATTTGTCCAAAGTTAAATGGATAGCGTATGGCAGAGTGTGGGTCAGTGCCTGGGTTTTCTGACTCAAGCCCTCACTATTCCAGTGTTATTTCCATTGTAACACATTCTTTCTATATAATAAAACTATTATTAAACTGCACACTATGCTAATTTAATTTCATACGTTAATGTAGTTAATATACTTTTTGCTTTGTGTGCACTGTTTTTTATGGTGTGTATGGCAGTTGCATAGCTTGTCTTTGTGCCTCTTTCTGATGGTTTTAGAATAGATTTATTAAGCAAGCGTTTATTGAACTCCAACTTTGGAAACATGATTATAGCCAATAGAAAAGAAAGAGACATGGTCCTTGAACAGTTTATAAAATAATTGAATGTGTACAGGAATATGTGTAACAACTAGAAAAGAATTATAGGGGTAACTGGCAGGCTCATCTGGAAAGAACATGCGATTTTTTTTTTTTTTAAAGCTTTTATTTATTTGACAGAGATCATAAGTAGGCAGAGAGGCAGGTAGA